GCAGGAAATCAGTTCCAAGCAGAAAGGAGGATTAATGAGAATTTTGCTACTAGCTAAGTGTCCTCGGGCAGAAAGTGATGGTAGATGCAACCTAGTCAATGGAAAATTGTGAAGCAGCCACATTGTTTTGGCCAGCTTAAGTCATGTGTAACATTTCCTGCCTAAACTGTTCTGCCAAAAAGCATCACATTTCAACTCAGTTGTTTCAAACCTTGTAGCTCACTGTAAAGTAAAGAATTCATTAATAAATTTAATTTAATTCTTTAAAATCAAAACTTTGACAGAGAAAGATTTGCTCTGAGAGTAGGCTGGTTGGCTGTTGTCTGCATTCTTGAGCAATGGCATGAGATTTTCTTTGGATAGAAAAGAAACCTTAAGATCAGCTTTGGGGGACCAAGCTATGACATCTGGGAGAGTTTAATAGGGTTCCTTTTAGCGTTCTTGTATGCATTAGGAAATGTAACTACTTATACAGGGAGAAAAGACAGATTCTTGATGTTCAGCCACAGAGGTTCAAAGACTGTTTGGTTTTGTTAGATGCAGAGCACTTTCACCTTTCACTGAAGCCAGAAATTCAGTGCTCAGGAGTTTCCTGGAGTGAGACCTTAGTAAGATCCAGTTAAAGTTTTATATAATCGACAAGTACCATGTAAATTATTTCTTTGAAGCTTGTCACATTACATGGTTACAACTTCGTCAAACAGCCAAAACACAACCCTTGACCTTCCCAAGTTTGAAAGGTTCTTGAGAAAGTAAGCTCAAAGTTATAATTCAGATATTAAAGGAAAATTAACATGGAAAAATGTTGGACAAAATTCACACAAGAATTCAGCGTTTGCTTGCTTTCTTTTTGTTTTAAAGTGTTTATTGAATATGAAGTATGTGAGATAATAAGTGAGACTAGATGTTTTGACTTGGACTAGTTTCCTACTCTTGATCTGTAACCATCTGGCAGTGTTTGTACCTTTTGTGGGAAACTGAATCTGGCTTACAGGAGAGAGGTAAATCTTAATCATTGGGTCTCTTTCATGAATTCCTGTAAATGGAATTCCTGTAAGGGGGAAAGTGGTAGTGAGTGTGGGCCATCCAGCTGTCTGAAATTACTTCATGCTACAAAAACCTTCTGGTCTCAGTGAGGGTTTCTGGAAAGCTGACTGGAAAATCAGACTTTCTTCTGCTTACCAGATCTCAAAAGGATGTAGGAAGACAGGGAGCTATAAGGTAAAAATACCAAGAGAGTAAGGTAAAGTATACTTGTGTATCTCTTACGAGTGAGATGATCTGCCTAGCTAAAGCACATTCAGTGCTTCCTTTTCATCTTAAATTTTTCTGCAGGTAAAACACACAGGTAAATCCCTAGTGGCTTCTGGCCATGATGAAGCTTTAACTAACGCACTCTCCGGTAAATGTGTAATAAGTTATATAGGCCTAATAACTAAAACAGTATGTACTATGTCCAAGTACTTGCCCATGGAAGTAACTGTTTACATAGTTCAGGTACAAACGGTGAGAATAACGATGCTAAAGTTTACTGAGGGAAAACTGATTTTGTCTTGGGTGTCTCAGCCCATCGGTTCCTGCTGCCAGAAATTTTGCTGGGGGAGGCGTTTTTTCTTTGCAGCCTATCTTCCAAGCTGGACTTTCAAGCAGTTTCTGTCAAAACAAAGTAGAGCAGGGTATTTGGGAGAGAAGACAGCCTGAAGGAGAAGGCACTCCTCAGCTGTCCCTTTAGCCGTGGGCTTGCTCACGGTCACACAGAGCCAATGGATAGGATAATTTTGTAAGGTGCACAGTGCCCTCTATGAAACTCTGGAGAAGGGTGCCAAAAATAAATGCACCAGGTATTGTAAGGTGCTGAGCTACTCTGAGAATACAGGCCCATGCTGAGAACATGAAGTAGGCGGTGACTGTCTCGTTCCCTAAAACAGCAATCTCTCCTCTTTTCTTTCAGGCGACATCAGTGCCACTGGAGAACAACTAAGAAGCACCAGCACGCGTTTGCGTAAGACCTGCTGAATGTTTAACTGGGGACAGAAGACTTGCATGGCTAAGGCCGACAGCGAGCTATATTTCTATACCTTGTACATAGGAATACACTAGGGCAGCTTCCAGGCCACCCGCAATTCGCCTGAGCAAATGTCAATTATGGGACACTAAGCTAACTAGTGCCATAAACTACTTCAGAGGTTAGACGCCTTTTCTTAGGCTCCTGTCAGAATTAAGTAGTTTGTTTTCTGATTCTAGCCTCCTTTTAATTCCACTTCTGATACCACACTGAAAATATCAGAAATAGGATTTTTAAACGTCATCTGACACTACTTAATAGGCTTACATGTATGTATGCTCTCAATGTAATTAATAACTATATAAATTTCTAAGCTTCCAGTCACTTGTACCTGTGGGTAGTACACTAGATACAACTAACAGCAGCTCTTTTTTCTTTTTTTTTTTTTTTTTTTAATTAAGTCTTTTAGGTTTTAATGCTCTAGGCCATTTTGATAGTTTTGTGCATTTTTTACTTTTTGTTTTTTACGATTTGTCAGATCTTGTTTTAAATAGGAATAGCACAATGCTTCATGCACAATGATGTTCGAAACTGATTGGGCCAAGATTTGCATTTTTAATAAGACTAATCATACTTAATACAGCTAATGTCCAGTTTCCTAAGTATTCTGTATAGCTACTGAAGAAGGTAACTGAAATAAAACTGGATTTGTGCACAGATTTCAAAGTTTTCAGCTTTTTCTTCCTGGTAACTGAAATATTCATCACACTTTACCAAAATCCACATTCCTCATGAACATCTAAGTCTTTTCCAAGCAATACACTATTAGAAGAGGCTTTAAGAAGTTGAAAGTATTTCAAACACGTGAAGAATCCTGATCCCGATTAAGTTGGTGGGAGTTCTGCCATTGAGTTCACTGATGCTTAGTTTTATACTCCAGATTTAGTTACAAGGAAAGAACCATCCTGAAAAAAGTTAGCTCTAATTAAATATACCAAAATCAGCAAAGCTTCCCACACTGAGGCTACCCCATTCATTCAATGTGGGTAATAAAACAAGTAGAGAATGTGTAGCAAGACTCTTAGTCTCATAGGTGACTGCTGGTGGCCCAGGCAGCAGTTTAAGTTTTAATCCTTTCTAGATGACTCATATATTTCCCTCCATATTGACAAGCCCAGAAAACATTTACTTTATGAGACCCTGTTTCCAGGGAGCCTGTGTCAAATTTTCAAAAAAATGTTTGAGCAGTGTAACAGTTTTTAAGCAAACCTATGCCCTTGGGCTGCAATTACTCCTTGAAGCCAGTGGGAAAGCAGTAGGTGCTTTGCAATATTCTTTTTTTGGGGGGGAAGGGAGATGAGGAAGAAAGGGAGCATGGAATAAGAAGAAAAATAAAAAGGTAAAGCAGGCCTAAAGGCAAAGCTACAGGAATAAGCATCAGTAGTAAGTGGGGACTGTCTGCATAAGGTAGACCTGGAGGCTGTGCTAAAGAGAGGTCATGGGAACGTGCCGTCCAAAACTGGAAAAAGCATTAGGAGCAATGACACTGCAGGAGTAAAGAATCCCCTGTGCTTTTCTTGGGCTCCAGCATACCGCGGCATTCAGCATGTTTCTTTCTCATTCACTATGAACTAATTCCTGAAAAATCTTGCCAAGCCAGATGTTGGGCTGGAGGATCTTAATCTGGCATGGCTCAAGTTGTGAGTGTCACAGCACCAGCGACGAGCTGAGGCTAACAGTCCAGCTGCCCTGCTTATGCAGGGTCACCTACAGCCAGTCACTACATCCAGTTGGGTTTCAAGTTTCACCAAGGACGGAGGCACCACAGCCTCTCTGGGCAAACTCTTCCAGTGTTTGACCACCCTCACAGTAAAAAAGCCTTACAGTTAGACAAAATGTCTCGTATTTCAGTTTGCACCCATTGTCTCTTGTCCTCCTCCCCCTTCTCACAGGAAATGAGCAGTTTCACTTAACTAACTTCAAATAAAGTGTACTCAGCATGCTTTTGCTCACTAGGTAAAATTAAAGGACAAACCCAATAGGTTGTAGATCACAGGTTCAGTCAGGTCAGGGGAACTGGAAAGATCAGAGAGGCAGTCAAGAAGCACAGCAGCAATGACAGCAGCTAGCTGTACCAAGATCCATTGATATAGAAACTTAGGCAGTACTCCAGCTAGCCACGCACATGCCTAGCAAGTGAGGCAGAGGAAATAGGAGCAGAAAAGAGAACAACTATCTACCCAAGTTGTCCCAATCATGGTAATCATGGTATCATACATTGCATAGAATAATATAGAAATTCCAGTGTTTCAGAACAAGGTATTTACTAGGTATTTATGCCTGCCATACCAGAAACATAAGGGGGTAGTCTATCCAACATAAAAGGCACAAACATAGGAAACCTCAAGGGGAATGATTAATTGGGTCCAGAGTCCTTAGAACACATACTACAGCCAACACCTTTGCTACTTCCTAAGCACTAGCTATGCATCTTGCGCTCTGTATGGCACGAGCATAAAGCTAATACCTACCAAAAGCAATATTTAATCAATAAATATTAAGCAACATAATGAGAAACAGGGTCAGCGTTTCACTTACACAAATATGTTCACATAACCTGTGCTTGTTTTAAACACAGAACCCGTAACAACAAAATAGTATTTTCACATTATTATGCCTGAATAGCCAAGGTATTAAACCTTCTAGCATATGAAAGCACTTGAGCTTTGAAGTAGTGCTAACTGGCCAGCTGATGAGGTAGCAAGATGCTGTAGGCTGACAATTAGCTTTCACTGGGCAATGAACAGATGTTTCGTGTTTCATATGCTTTCATCTGGGAAAGTGCTATTGAGCAGTGTAAATTGAAGAGAGTTGAATGTTGACCTGGGTTACAGCTAAGATCCTTAAGTGGTAAGAGATACTGCCCTACTAAACCATGAATGCTACTAAGTCGTTTAGGCTGGCAACAGCAGGAGGAACTCAGTCTAAGTATGATTTGGTGCATTAACTAAGATTTCAGTGAAGGAGCTTCAACAGAAAGAAGGGGGTCAAAGTAATGCTAGGAGCGGAGTGAAGTGTACTATTTACATGAATTCAGCAAATTGCAAGGGTTTGGTGTTTTGTTTTTGTTTTGTAAAGCCATTATTAGAAGTTTTGCAAGAAGAGAAGTTTCTATCAAAGACACGTATTACATGGGACAGCTCCGCAGCAAAGAGTCCCTGGGAAGGCATATGCCATATGCAAGGGAAAAGCTGACAACAGGGACTCCTCTGGGAATGGAAATGCTATCCCTCTCTGTGTGGCTGTGGCTGATAAGAACTAGATTCAGAGAAACTCATGTTCTGGGAGGTTTCACCTCTGTATAACCAGCAGGTGAGCAGGTCTTTTCCTCCCCATACTGAGGTGTGTGAGCTCTGAAGCCTCTATCAGGAATTGTTGCTCAGAGAGGGTCCCTTGCTGTGTAAACACAGTTTCTTAATGTTCTTGTGGATAACTGAGCCTAGAGTTACTTTCTGTCTAACTCACTACAAAATCTTAGCATACACAAATTAGTTCAGTTTGTTATTTAAGCCTGGGTAACACTTAGTTAAGTCTCTTGATGTTTAAGCATTATTCATCTTCCATTGTTGACGTATAGAGGAACACAGCAGAATCAAAATCCACCCTCTACATAATCCTGCTTCCATGACAAAGTTTTTTTCCTAAATGACAAAGATACAAGATGTGCTATTCACTAGCTAATCCTTAATAGGAATTTTTTCACGCTCCTCATGGCGAGGAGAAAGCTGCGTTGCAAGAATACAGCCTTCCCAAGGTTAAAAGAGGGGACCTGCCTACAGTGACTTGTTTGCAGAGACAAGCAGAATGACATGAAGCTCAGTACTTTTCAATCATGCTGTATATTCTGCCCTTGCTGCTTTAGCTCATGAAAGACTTTGCTGTCCTTAAATGTCAGAGGGTCTTATGTTCCGGGCATGGACAGTTGCTTCAGCTTCTCTGGCTGCTAAAGAAAGGAAAACCACCATGGACTAATTGTGCAGGCCTTCAAGACTAGTTCTGGCCCCTGTAGCTCATATGAAACTTTATTCAATATTTAGACCTCAAATCTTTGAATCCTGTGGGTACTTTACACTACACTGTAGTGATGTAGGGATGAATGACCCCCAAAACAGGGATAGACAAACTTTTCTAACCTAATTGATCATTCCTGCATGCTACACAAGAAATGTTTGGGCTTTTCTTAACAAATAATGAAAAATCTTATGCTTTATCCAGACCTGTTTCCTCTTTGCTTTTACTCTCCAGCTCATGAAAACCCTTTGGTACAGACAGATCAGTACATTATTTTCTCTTAAAGCCTAACTTCTTGACACCTGATGTGTGCCTCCTTCCTGTCCCATTGTAGGCTCAGAGGAACACATAAAGTCAAAATCAAGCCTCTTTGCACTTCACTTCCCAGTAGGAAAAAAAATCCTTTTCTGAACCACAAAGATAAAGGGTATATGCGGTTCACTGGCTCATGCTTTAGTTCATTTTTCATGCTCATCCTGTCTTTGGTTTTAGATTTTTATTCTTTCAGGGCCCTGTGCTCTCCCAGGTTTAGTTTAGCTAACTGGCTGACCTATGGCCAGGGGTGGTGAAGAACATTTTAAAACATGATGATTAAATGTGAATTAATGTATTTCTTAGGGGATGAAACTTCATTAGCCTGCTTTCTTAATTCATAATAATTAGAGAAATACATAAGAGGATTGTGTTGCACATGCTACTGTGATCTGGCCAGTTTCCCTGGGATCCACATGAATCACAAAGCTACCATGAGCAAAACATGTTCCCTGACCAGAAAATAAAGACAAAAGACAGCTACATCCTATTCTCTCCTCCTTCTCAGTATTCAGATTCAGACCCTCAGTATCTCAGGTTTTTCATTTTTGTTTTTAAAATCACATCGTAAATGCAAAGTGTTTGATTTTCTATGCAAGTCACTGTCTCAAGAAGCTCTGAGAGCAGGAGCCAGAAAAATGAACCTCCTGTTCTCTCCCTAGATGAAAAAGCTGCCCCTGCAATATGTCACCTGTTTGTAATGAGCACTCTAATCAAACAATCATGCTGAGAAATGTTTCTTCCCTTGTTTCTCTCTGCAGGCAGGCACAAAGCTTTGTCCTTAAGAGAATTGCAGAACAGTGGTGTGAGTGCTTGGCACTAGGTGCAGAGATCTCCTGTTGATCCCTCACTCAGAGGATGGCCGTGAAAGTGCATGTCCTAAGCATAAGGACAGGCAATCCTGAGGAGCAGGAATAGCTCTGGAGATTAGAGAACTACTCTGTAAAT